GACTGCTGCCCACTTTAGTTTTCCCACCACCACCACCACGTTCATACCATCATCACTGTTCCCATAACTAACGACCCGGTTAAAAAACTACGTACTATTTAATCAGAAATGTGACTGCTATAAATTTATTCGAAAAATTAAAGATAGATAACAATGGTTTAGTCTTTTTCGGAACTATTGGTTGACAATTTAACAATTTTCACTTGATGTTTCGTAAGTAATAGGGTTTGTCGGTTTTTAAAAACCGGTTTTTGACGTGACAACGTCTTATAATTCGATGGAGCCGGCTGCACGCACGAAAAAACATGACTCATGCGGCGTTACCTCGCTCTGAGGCGTCCCATTTAAGGCTTAAAGTGGAAGCGAGAGCGCGGAACGAGCGACAAAGAGGCACAATCGGCCTCCGCGTTCGGCAGCGTTCGACATCTGTCTCTCTCCTACTTGAGTGAGCGATGCGTCNTCAAAATGTAAGGGTTTTGAAACCTTCTCAATGAAGGATTCTTAGCTAGTTAGAAAAACTAATCTAAATTACATGCTGAAGTTAGTTATTTTTGCAATTTAAAGTATCTGTTTTAAAGGTTTAAAGTATTTTACTGCAATTTATGTGATGTTTAAAGTAAGTACTAACCGCCTATTTCAAACGATTAGTAGTGACAATGTATCAAAATGTTGTTATAATGGTTGAGAAACTGAAAACAAAGAAATAAAATGTTACTTGTTTTGCAAAAGAATACCTGTTGGCTATATTTATTTTTTTTTCGTGTGTTTGGTTAGGGAATAAAATCTATATTGATGTTTGATCATTAATAAATGCATTAATATTAGTAATGATTTTTCGAGAAACTAGGAATTAGAAAGGTATATAATACGCATTTTTACATTTTATTGATGACGCTTAATTCTAATTTATTGCTTAGGCGGATTAGTATAGTTAAGTTTAATATTTCTGGAAACGAATTTCTCCAATTTTTTGAATATCCTCGAAATGATTATTTTGGGATTTTGTTAGTTTGTTAGTTGTATGTAAAGGTCAGCGGTATTAATCAAAATTTAAGTAGGTAAATATGAGAACATTCATGAGAAAATATCCAATTATACGAAATAAGTTAAATTATATAATCTTAACGAAAAAACTACCGGGTAATTTCATTGGTACCTATTAATTAAACTAAGCCTAATTATTATCCGTCTTTATTATAGGCAATTGCAGGTTAAATTTTTTTTTTTGAAATATCGTAGGTGCAAATTAAGAATTTTATTTAGTTTTAAATGAAGAGGTATTAGAAAGAACAGGAAGATAGATGCCACTATAGAAGAAATAGGCGGATTTTTCTGCCCTGCTTACATTTAAATTGGTTCACATTAGCGCCTTAGTTCACACGAGCGTAAAATTGGCAATAGTGACCCACTTGACCCCCAAAAAAAACATCTTCGTCTACTGTATTCAAGACATTAATTTTCCCCGTACATTGCAAAGATTATTTTCGTCTATATAAAAGCACCCAGTGCTAACCTACCGTAAACACCCCATTGTGAAATTTTTTATTTGGGTCTCTTCAAGTATCAGCATATGGTGTAAGAAAAGAAAAAAAATTGATCGGTTTCTTCCATTTTTTACTTTCTTATTAAAAAAAAGCTTCTCACATAATTCTTCGCTTTTTTAAATTGGAAACATTCCCCATCTTATTATCTCATTATTGGTGTTCGTCCCTCGTATTACTATACCGTTTTGAGTGCGCACTGCCACCAGTTTAATAATGGGAAATGCCCTAATATATCACTTTCGCACAGCAGGTATCTATTTGGCCGTTTTGACCGCATCTATTGTTACGGTAATCTCTTCAGTTAAGCAAGAGCACGCAACCGTCTGCAAGAGAAAAGAAGAACGACATATAGAAAGCGAAACGACGAGGATCGAAAGGTAGACAGGAAGAGAGGTCGTCCCACTTTGTGGACAATTATCTGTGTGGTCAGTGCTTTTGTACGGTTGTCAATACGTTGTTAAACGAATCTATTAGGGTGTATAATGTTCTCACTTTTACCTTTGCGTGTCTGACACAGGCTCTGTAAAAGGTATTATTAGCCACATGCAAAATCAACACTTTGCGCCTACTGAGCACGCAGACAGAAGCCTTTTATTTGGCGGATTTCTTCATTTATGTCAAATTGTGTGTCTAATAATAAAAAAGTTAGGCCAAGTTCTCTTGTAGATTGGAATTGGGATGGTACACATGGCCAATATCATTTCCATTCTCATATTAATTCGCAAACCGACAATAAGCTTGCATTGCAACCCTCTTCGTTGAATATGGTAATCACTAATTAACATTAAATGCGTTTGCCAAGTTCAAATATGAATACAGTTGTATAATGTTTAATATAAGAAACAAATAGTAATCACTAATTAGCGTTAAAAGCGTTTGCCAAGTTTAAGTATGAATACAGTTGTATAATGTTCAATATTAGAAACAAATAGGAATCACTAATTAGCGTTAAAAGCGTTTGCCAAGTTCAAATAGGTATGTATACAGTTGTACAATGTTTAATATTAGAAACAAGAGGTGAACGTTGTTTTTGTCTCTCAATACCTTTTTTTACAACCGAAAGTGTACTTGCCAAGAGAATTTGGCACACAAAAGTTTTGGTAAACAATAATAATATAAAATTAACTTCGAAACATTAACAATATTCTTCGAGATTCTCATGGAACATTTTCGTCCCTACAGAGAGTTGCCGGACCAAGTTCTTTAAAAATATTGTGCCAATTTCTTTTGTTGAACTCGGGAACTGGTAATTAGTTAGCTTAGAATTGTGCTTCAAATCGTAAATTTGAATTTTGCAACTTTGTACTCATAACAGGTGACGATCGTTACTAATCGTGGTTAATATACCGTTTGCCAAGTTCAAATATAAATACAGTTATTACACAATATAAAATATTGGAAACAAGAGAGTTGCGCTTTGACCGTTATTTTTATTTCTCAGTTCCTGTTACCATAAGAAGTGTAGGTACCAGGAGAACTTGGCACAGGAGTTTTTGACAAAGTGACGTCGAAAGTCCAGAATCTGTTAAAGGACTTGCGTATTTAAATATCTTGGAAACTGAAATGTTGAAGAGATATAAGTTTACTTAATATGCTGCTCTTTTTACAAACACGTTAAGCCTTTTCTGTAAACCCGAAGACATAAATTATTCCATCGATTCCAAAATGGACATGGTGATCCCTTACCGATGCCAAAGTGGGTCAAGTTAAAAGAAAAAGAAAGCATCACATGTCTGTCGAACGTTGTTAATAACGTCGACAAAGGTAATTACATTATTTTATGTTGGACAAGTTCTTTCTCGGGTGTCCGTTCACCAATTAATAATAAATTAGTCAAACTAAGATCCCGTCTGGCGGTACCTCGAACTTACGAAAAGAAGGTCGTGTAGGTACTGTATTGTATTCTGTATAGACAGGTAGTGGTAGGCACATCGCAGTCGCCCGGTGCGCGCCCCCGCAGAAACAACTGGTTGTCTTTCTTTTTCCTTTTCAATGCGGTTTATTGTTGCTAGTATACGCGAGTACCAAGAGATAATGGCCCTCGATGGCCGCTTACCTATTCCCTAATTAATTCGATTTGTATGTAAATAACGACGCGCAAGAACCAAATGCATAAATCTAAGGGAACGGCCCATGAACGAAGGAAGAATTCTATATAAAATGTCTCGAGCAACGTTTGCTCGCGAAAACCAATAAAATATACTTGATTTACTGGCGAGCTGACGTTTATCGTTGAACTTAAGCAGTTTTATTTGCGGGCATTTTTCGTGAACTGACAGTCGTTCCAAATAAAAGGGAGACTGGTTATGAAACGGAATACCTGTAGGTACTCAAGTCGCACAATATTTTTCTACAGGTAAACGTTAACATAGTTGAACAGACCAACGACAATGGATCTTATGACATAACAAATAGAAACAAACAGCACAATTATTATTTTTCATCATCGTAAGGTCGTCAGTCTTAAGACCGGTTGGACACGCACCTCCACTCTTTCCTATCCTGAGCTAATCTTCGGATTTCCCTAAAACTAAAACATCCCACATCCTTAACTATTTGCGAACAATAATCTAATTTAGATCAACCTCTACTCCTCTTAACTCCTAATATGTGTCTGACTAGACCTGCACGCCTGAGAAGGTGCCCTACCACCCTATCTCGCTTATTTCTTATTGACTTCCATAGAGACCTCTATTCCGCTATTCATTCTAGTACTTCTTCATTTCTAACCTTCTGTATCCACGGTATCCTCATCATTCGCTTGTAACACCACATTTCGACCGCGTCTAACCTTTTCCTTTCCGCAGCGTCCACCGTCCATGTTTCCCACCCATTCTAAATTAACCGTTCGCGGGCATAGAAGTGACTTCTTGTTATTGAAGGAGACTCGACCCTGCGCTATTCTCTACTTTATATCCCTACTATTCCTTCCGCCCTGACTTATCTGACTTCCTAGATACCTAAAGGTATCACCTCAGTCAGAATCGACGTGACAACGTCTTATAATTCGGTGGAACTGGCTGCACGCACGAAAAAACATGACTCATGCGGCGTTACCTCGCTCTGAGGCGTTCCATTTAAAGCTTGAAGTGCAAGCGAGAGCGCGGAACGAGCGACAAAGAGGCACAATCGGCCTCCGCGTTCGGCAGCGTTCGACATCTGTCTCTCTCCTACTTCAGTGAGCGATGCTTCCGCGTGGACAGCTGCTATACAATAATACATTTCCATTTACCTCCTCTATATCCATACAAAATATCTATCAAACAAATAAAATTGAAATTTTCTTTTGAAAAATGAAACCATTCCATCAGTATTTTCTTATGACGTTGTCACGTTCAATTATCGTCAGTAAACCGACTTTACAGACAACCGATTTTTTTTTGGTATAAAATCTTCCAAAAAGAGAAGGCATTATTTAACAATTGGATTTCAGACTATTCATGCATTAAAATGATATCACATCGAAGAATTGTTCACCAAAATTCAAACTTCCAGTAATGGTGTTCATTTTAATTCTTGAACATTTTGACAATATGTTACACACAATTGCGCGACTTTTTGACATCGAAATAACCTCATACGTCAATATTTGACTACAATATATTTCCTTCTATCAAAGTACAAATTTGTTGGAATAGTTAAGTAAATAACATCATGGCCAGGAATAGAGGTTTGTCAATGGATTGGAAGAATCTCATATCTTCCAGATTCACGGATGGTGTATCTGCTCAGGATCATCCTGGATTTGAGCTATTCGAAAGACCCACAGTAAAAACAGTGGCGGATGCTACTTATACAGGGGAGTGGGACGTGCTGGGTTTTGCAGGTATTGGAACATTTGTATTCCCAAACGGAGTCGTCTACTCCGGTCATTTCAAGGACAGTATGTTTCACGGAGACGGAACTCTGACGTACCCAATGGGACAAATGATGGAAGGAAAATGGGTGAATGGGGAGTTGAAGAAGTGGAAGTTTAAGTTCGCAGACGGGGTGGAATTTTCTGAGCCGTGGAGTTACTGTGAATTCCCTGATAGGAGGTTCTTCATTGAGATTAAAGGAGATTTGGAGTCGACTTGTCATATAAACTTGACAAACAGGCAACCGACAAGGAAGATCCCGATTGGATTTTATGACATAGAAGAAGGATTATTTAACGCCCACACCAAATGCGTTATATCAGCGGTGAATAGAAACAAGATTCTTCGTATTCCAACAGCGGCCGAAGAAAAATGGATTATCAAGCATTGCCGGAAAGGATGGGATGAACCCGTCGGTTACAAACCGGAACTCTACGAAGTCTGGACAACTGGAACAGCATCTTCCTTGCATAAGTTCGTGCATGAAGACAGTAAGGATTCCACAGTCGAATCTTCGAATAGTTCTGATCTCTCTTCAACTAATTCGTCATCGTCGCACTCTGTCACCCCTTTAACTAACACTTCGAGTACTAGTAGAACTGAACAAGAATTATTTGTGACCCCCGTCTCTCATTCGGAAGCTAATGTAGCGACGAGCGATCCTAAAGAGAATGTATCCGAAAGTGACAAAAATTAAACAGCAACTCATACTTGTTCTTTACTATTATTTATATATCGCAAAATTCATTTATTGCATAAACATTTTGTTTATTATTTCGGGATGAATATTTGTTAAAAATATTATTGAATATTTATATGAACATGTACTTAATGGCAGAATCAAAATTATCGAAAATGGTAAAAATATTAAATGGATTTTGATAATAATTTCGGAGTGTTTGAATTTTTATTGATGTGCTTGATAGGAGACGAAAAATTAGAAGAAGTGGCCGATTTTAGATATCTAGGAAGTCAGATAAGTCAAGACGGAAGGAGTAGTAGGGATATAAAGCAGAGGATAGTGCAGGGTCGAGTCGCCTTCAATAAAAAGAAGTCACTTCTATGCTCGCGAATGGTTAATTTAGAAATTCGGAAAAGGTTCTTAAAGGTGTATGTTTGGAGCGCGGCGGAAAAGAAAGGTTAGAAGCGTTTGAAATGTGGTGTTACAGGCGAATGATGAGGATACCGTGGATAGAGAAGGTTAGAAAGGAAGAGGTATTAGGAAGAATAGGAGAACAGAGGATTCTATGGATGTCAATAAGAAATAGGCGAGATAGGGGGGTAGGACGGGTAGAGGTAGATCCAGATTAGATTACTGTTCGCAAATAGTGAAGGATTTTAGTTGTTCTAGTTTTAGGGAAATACAAAGATTAGCTCAGGATTTGAAATAGTAGAGATGCATGTCCAACCAACCTTAGAACTGACGACTTTATGATGAGTAATTTGAAGTTTTTTGATTTCAAAATGTAAGGGTTTTGAAACCTTCTCAATGAAGGATTCTTAGCTAGTTAGAAAAACTAATCTAAATTACATGCTGAAGTTAGTTATTTTTGCAATTTAAAGTATCTGTTTTAAAGGTTTAAAGTATTTTACTGCAATTTATGTGATGTTTAAAGTAAGTACTAACCGCCTATTTCAAACGATTAGTAGTGACAATGTATCAAAATGTTGTTATAATGGTTGAGAAACTGAAAACAAAGAAATAAAATGTTACTTGTTTTGCAAAAGAATACCTGTTGGCTATATTTATTTTTTTTTCGTGTGTTTGGTTAGGGAATAAAATCTATATTGATGTTTGATCATTAATAAATGCATTAATATTAGTAATGATTTTTCGAGAAACTAGGAATTAGAAAGGTATATAATACGCATTTTTACATTTTATTGATGACGCTTAATTCTAATTTATTGCTTAGGCGGATTAGTATAGTTAAGTTTAATATTTCTGGAAACGAATTTCTCCAATTTTTTGAATATCCTCGAAATGATTATTTTGGGATTTTGTTAGTTTGTTAGTTGTATGTAAAGGTCAGCGGTATTAATCAAAATTTAAGTAGGTAAATATGAGAACATTCATGAGAAAATATCCAATTATACGAAATAAGTTAAATTATATAATCTTAACGAAAAAACTACCGGGTAATTTCATTGGTACCTATTAATTAAACTAAGCCTAATTATTATCCGTCTGAGAGACAAATTTTGAAATGTTTATTACGTACAAATTTTTACATATTGAAATGTAACTATACAACTGAAGCATTTGTTGTAATACTTACTTAAGGATGTTTGGGAGGTATGTCGAAATGCTACGAGACAAATAAAAATTTGGTAGAACGTTCCTCATTCAATTCTAAAACTCCTGTAAAAATTACAAATCGATTCACTAAACCGTTAAAAAGTTATTGAAATTTTAAAAAATTGTAATTTTACACGTCATTTTATGGAGATTCGTTAACCGAACAGATTAAATTTATTTTTATTAACAGAAAAAAAGCTACCAGAAATTTCAAACTTTTATAATAAGTAACTTGAACTCTGGAGAATCACTTTAGCGTAAGGTTATTCAAATTCACTAAATGGTTATCGAGGAAAAAATGAAAAATTAGCTGAAAATCTCGTTTTTACTTGATAATATAATGATAATATTTATAATTGTCTGAAATAAATGCAATTTTAAAGTTTTAATTATTATTTAAACATATTAAAAAGTTTTACGCTCATTATTAATAGAGATTGAAACTAAATATTTTTTTGTTTCGAAATTGAAATCAAGGCATATTCACTGCCAAAAGTCAGTTAAAAATTTTCCATATTATTCGTTATTTCTTATTTTATTCAAAGTTTTTGGTCAAATTCCAAATTTTCTCTCAAACCGTATACTTTTTTTTAGTATAGATAGTATTTATTTACCTCATGATATGCTACAAAACCTAATTAATTACGAATTTATAATTTTGTGTACTCTTGTCTGCGATTGTACCTCCCAAACATCCTTAATTTGACTCTGCAAATTTTTATTTATTTATTTCCTAATTATTGGGTATTTATCATATCTCTTTTACATATTTTATGGCGTAACATAATTTCCGAAAACAGTTTCGTTGCATGTATTTTGTTTGTCTCACTTTCTCACACATCTAAGTTGTTGGCTTGTTCTGTCTATTCCTTGAACAGATGTGATAAAACGTTTTTTGTAGAATACGATTAGATTGAACTTGGCTGGCAATTAGAGGTCATTACAAACAGAACGATATATTTCCTTTATTTGCTGACATATTGTAGTCGTTCGTCTTCGTGTTCGGTCTAGGAAAATAATCCTGGTTTTTAAAAACGGCTGATACTGTTGGTTTACGCGTTATTTTTATCGTGAATACGCGTCGGTTTTCGAGATGATTTGGAACCTGATTTTCGTTTCAATACTTGGATTCATTGGATCATAATATATGTGGTTCCAGGTTATACTGTATATATTGGATAGAAATATTTACTCTAAAAGTAAGTGGCCATCTTTTTAATATTGCGGCAAGAATTACTGACTATACTAAACCAAAATTAGTTATAACTATAGCTAATATGTTTTTAAATAAGCAACAATGGTACGTTTTGTAAATTAATCATCGTAAAAAAGAGTTAAATTTGTAGAAGAATCACAGTACCTGTTACTCCTGTAGAATATTCCATTTATAGTTTTTATTGTACTATAGTAATGTTATTTCTCGTAAAATATTAACAAAAAGAGAAAGTACTTACATGTACTCGCACAATAAACACAAGTAAAATTATCAAATTTCCTGTATTACCGTTGAAATATTTTAGCGAATATGGTTTTATCTGATGGTTAATGATTGATAAAAGTACGGTATGAATTGCTTCTAGGTAAAAAAATGTAGTGGCTGGCAAATGAATGAAAGTAGTTGGTTTTTAGTATACCACAACTTTTATTAGATCGACACGAAATCCACTAATAAAGTTTTAGATATTATTGTATTAGGTATTATATATCAATTAGGTAAATAAGATAGAGATTTTATTTTAATACAAACTGTCTCGAGTTTGGCATCCATTTAGGTAAAAGGTTTGTTTAAAAAGGCAATGGAAATGGTCTGGGTATTCTATGGAGTGACGAAGGGTGTTAAATTCTTATGGAATATGGAGGCCATATCATTGGAATTAGAATTTAATGACTTATGACAATGACAACTTTAAATTACCATATAAAAAGATAATTTTCCTGCATTTTTAGGAAAATCCGCAAGGACCTTTTTCCCAAAAGGTTTACGCGGAGTCTTTTTATTGCAATATTGATTAACATTATCAATTTTTGGAAACAGACACTGAGAATCCCTAGACAAAAATTTTCAGTCTCTCTCCAGTCTCTCAGAGTCTTTCAGAGTCATTCAGCGTCTCTGAGAGTGTCTCTCACAGTCTTTCACAGTCTTTCAGTTATTGCCTAGGTGTTTTTATGGATCTCTCACAGTCTCTGTATGAGAGACTCGAACGATAAAATTGTTAATTCAGAGATTCGAGTCTCTCACAGAGAGACTGAATGAATAACACTAAAAAATTGAGAGACTCGAGTCTCTCGTAGAAAGACTGGGATCTCTGAAATATGTTAAACTTAAAAATTTTTAACCACGTCTACCGAGACACCACTTATTGAGAGATTCGAGTCTCTCGTTGAGAGATTCGAGTCTCTCGTTCAGAGATTCGAGTCTCTCGTTTAGAGATTCGAGTCTCTCGTTCAGAGACTGGATACGAAATGAGGATCTCTCTATGAGCGACTCGAGTCTCTCGTTCAGAGACGCTAAACAGTTTTTTTAACAGTCGATACCAGAGAGACTCGAGTCTCGACATTATCGTATGTTTTTGATTTGCATTTACCTATCACGAATTTATGTATTCAGTAGCTGTTTACAGGTGGATAACCGATTTTTTTTTAATATCTACGATATATAGGAGTATGTAAACTAACGGTTGTACTGTAGGCATTTATATTTCAGTAATTTCTACGTGTTATGTAAAAATATTTATTTCTTTTACGTTCGGCGTCGTCTTCTACGTGAACAAATTCCATGCAGTCCGAACACCGCACCGCACCGTGCCGCATCGGTTTCGGCATTTTCTATGACAAATCGTTAGATACGTATGTATGTATGTAGTAGTTGTTAATTCATTCACGCGACCAGACTTTTTTGAACATGTAATAAAACCACAATAATTTGACATTAATTAAGTTCTTTAAATTAAAAGAGCACCGCTATGTTTGTATGTTTGTTTTCCTCGTATTCTTCACCATTTGGAACACAATGCACATGTAAATTAATGTACAATCGTTAACGAAAGTGATGCGATACTCCGAAATAGAGTTTCCCGTAGGTAGAAGATATACAGTTGTTTAACAAATTGAAAAATTATCCCTCTATTTGGTTGGTATTATTTGGTTCAATCTTTTCTGGATAACGGTGATGTAATTAGAGGTTATAAGGCTTTCTGGTCGTCGCTGGTAAGACTTGCTGTCCGCAACGTTTGGTTGACTATCTTGGATATGTTAAGGAGTTGCTTTTCCCCAGGATATAGCCAGTTGAAGTCTTCCAAGAATATTGCAAATAGTCAGAGATATGGGATGTTGTAGTTGTAAGGTAATGCGAAGATTGGGTCAGGATAGGGAAGAGTGAAGATACGTGTCCAACCAGCAAAGCAAGACAGTCCGAGTCTTGGTATTGATCTTGGTCTAGCGGATTAAGTCTTCGTCTTTAATTTTAGAATAAAGACAGCGTTAGTCTTGCATTTTCGCAAGATGAAGACCAATTTTGTTCATCGGTGTTTCTGAATCTCTTGTTCTTTGAACACTTTTTCGTAAACGTACTCTGCTAGCGCAATTTTATACAAACCCGTACCTTTTCATAGATTTTCTTTAATTTTCCTAGTACGACGTTTTCATGATACTGGGTACTCACACTTCATCGTTCTACTATAGAGGTACGAATTTGACAAGACACATTGAAATTCGTCATTATTTAATTGATCGAATGTAGGTGTCGACCGTAGAACTGAACTTTGGTTTCGGTTGTTGTCGGACAGGACAAAAGTATTTCCTATAATGCGCGTGATTGGCGTTCAAATTTGTGAGTAACAGCATTACTCTGGAATGTAGAAATTCTCTGCTCAATTGACGACAGCATGTACATAAATATGTAATGTATCAGTATCAGTACTTACTACACACACACAAACGCACTTGTCTATTCGCCCATATTATGTACAACGGAAAGCAAAGCAGCGGCGATTTTGATGTGTGCCGAATACACAAATAACTAACAAAAGGCGACTTGGGTTCTTTTCTTTTTAAAATCGAAAACTGAAAAGCGCAGTGTAGCGTGACGCTAATTCTTCTTTTTTTTCGGTAGGTACCTATATGTCAAATCGACTAAAGGGGTCATCGAAACAATTTAGATAGAGAGTTTGGCTCTAGGTGCGGTTAAGGAGGAGGACGAAGAGGGAAAGGAAACAGCAAGAATGGCACGCGACACAAAACGTAATACGTACACTAGGTAGATACACCTTTGCTTTACATGTACGAACAATTGTTTGTGTAATCGCCAAAGTACTTCTGTAATGCGGTGTGATTATAAATGTACGATTTAGTCGCCAACAAGCTAACCGTTATTGGACATATTGGTATTTAAAATGAATTTTAGTTTATAAAAACTATTTTTATAGTTGGGACGCATTTGGGTCACATTTACTTCCTTCGTTCAACTTACTAATTAGACTAGAGCAGCTTCTGACACGACAGACGTAGGGAATTTCGTAAATATAGAAAAGAGATGCCAGGAAGGAATTGCAGCGAACATTTATAAAGAACAAGAAATAACATTACATCAGTTAGTGTGTAAAAGAAAGAGATGCCGAAAAGCAGAATTTGAACATGTTGCCAGCATTGGACTTTAAAAAAAGTTCAACATATTCAGGAATTTAGAAAAGAAATGACGTTAGTTTAAAGATATAATTCCAAAGAGGCAGTTGTAGAACCGACCCTGATCTTTCGCGTACCTAAGCAACCTCTAACCGCTGCAACGCTTTTTATTATTTGGTTATCTCTTTTCATTTTGTCTGTACTAGTCATGAAGTATTTCCTAAATTAACAAGGGAGTGTTGAAAACGCAGTAAATGACTACAGTCTCAAATGGAAATAAAACAAAAGATACGTTCATTCTCACAGATAATTTATTGCAAACTTTTCCAATTTTGATCGCCCCAACTACAGTTGGAAGGAAACCTGAACGCCGTGTTTCAAAAATTGTTGTTTAAAAGAGAAACAATCTGAATCTAAGGTAATGTTAAATGCGAAATTATCGTCGACTCCTTCAACCGGCAAACCCAATGAATATCAAAGAAAGCGCAATCATAAATCCATAAAATTCCAAACTTCTCGTAACTCATAAACACTTAAGACTTAAGCTGCTGGACGGTGTTTACCTTATTTCACCGAAATCTTCGTTTGTAGACAAAAGGTCATAATAAACTCCGGTCGGTCCTTTTTATGAGAGTTCTACGTGCTGAAGCCGATACTTGCTTATCTTTAGAATTGGTAACTGGAAATCTAGCTATCGAAACCGAAATAAAAGATGATATCGTATTACTTATATGTACAAGAATTTTGACTATGACTTATGCATCTATATTTAATCATTTGCATAACAACTGCTGAACAAATTAATAACTAATAAGTTCATTGAAACAAATCAATTTTAGGTTATGATTCGATTATGATTTTATGTCAACATTAACACCAGCTAAAATATTCATGATGGTAGGTAATATTCCGCTTCGGACCTTTATCAGGTAATAGTTTTAATGGTATTCAAGCCTATTCTATGTATAATACAGGCAGTGTGCAAGAACATCTCTGGAGTTGGATCCACAAGATGAAAAAAAATGTTGCAATTTTGTCACTTTATTTTTATATTTAGAATCATAGGATTACGGTAGGAAAAGCCCATACGAACGAAGTGATCATGGGCTTCGTTTTGTCTGATTATCTTCGCAATTCAATATAAATCTTATATAGATACTGACAGCAGTATTAGCATCTAGCAAGGAGGACCTAGAGATAGCTTTAAATAAAATGGAAGCGGTACTGACAGATCAGTACAGTATGAAAATAAATAAAACTAAAACTAAAATACTGGTATGCAAGGAGAGAAAAAGTAGGGAAAGAGCGAATATAAAGATAGGAGATGAAAAATTAGAAGAAGTGGCTGATTTTAGATACCTAGGAAGTCAGATAAGTGAGGATGGAAGGAGTAGTAGGGATATAAAGCAGAGGATAGCGCAGGGTCGTGTCGCCTTTAATAAAAAGAAGTCACTTCTATGCTCGCGAATGGTTAATTTAGAAATTCGAAAAAGATTGTTAAAGGTGTATGTTTGGAGCACGGCGTTGTACGGATGCGAAACATGGACAGTGGGGGCGGCGGAAAAGAAAAGGTTAGAAGCGTTCGAAATGTGGTGTTATAGGCGGATGATGAGGATATCGTGGGTAGAAAAGGTTAGAAATGAAGAGGTATTGGAAAGAATAGGAGAATAAAGGACTGTATGGAAGTCAATAAAAAATAGGCGAGATAGGTTGGTAGGACACCTTCTCAGGCATGAAGGTCTAGTCAGAGACATATTAGAGGCAGAAACAGGAGTTAGGAGGGGTAGAGGTAGACCTAGATTAGATTACTCTTCGCAAATAGTTAATGATGTGGGTTGTTCTAGTTTTAGGGAAATGCGAAGTTTAGCTCAAGATAGGAAAGAGTGGAGGTACGTGTCCAACCAGTCTTAGGACTGATGACCTTATGATGATGATGATGATAGATACTGACATGCTCTGTATTTCTTCGGAACGGAATTGTACCATAATTGTGTCCTATGCACTTTTAAGGTAAACAACAATTGACTACTGACGATGATTTCTAATATAAGTACAGTGGAATTCGTTTATTATGACTCCGCCTATATCGATCAACCGCTTAATATGAAGTAATTGCAGTGTTAAGTTTGGTTTTCATGTTAAATTCTCCATAGGAAACTTTGGATATAATGACTCCGTTTAAAATGACATATAATTTATTATGACGAATTCTCAAGAAATCATATCCGGCTATAGCGACCCAAATGATTAATAATAACATTTTGGCTCATTTTTCTGACCCTTCTTATGTATATTAATATTACAATTCTTCGTTCTTTTTCTTTTTCTGTTAATAAATATAAACAATTTGTAGTTTTTCTCTCTATTAAACTAAATAGCTAACCAAAATAGAAAGTTGTTTATTTTCTAAGACTATATGACGCCCGCTTAGTATGGCGTGTTTACCATTTCCCTTCGATGTCATTATAAGCGGATTCTACTGTAGTAGAAACAATTGACTACCTTCAAGATACCCGCATTTATATTTTGCTTTTTATTTTTAAATTAGTTAAATTAAAAGTTACATTTTTCGATCTTTTTTCCAAGGTCGTTTCGTTCGTATCCGACCATAGTACATAACTCTCCTAAGCTCCGATCGAAGTATTCGTTGACCTGAAAGGAAATGCAAGATAAATTTCTTTTAGATCGACCAGATGGAATCAAAGACCTTTTCTATTATCTTCCAGTTATACTTAATGACAAATGTATTTTTCGACAAAAGCGACAGTAGTTTCGGTCGTTCTCTAGCCATTGTAACCCTATAAAACCACGTCGGCCACACGCTGAATGGAATTCTATTCGTTTTAGGTAAAAACGAGGCAAAATCATCCGGACCCATAAAAACCCCGAATTCTATAACAAACATTTCGTCCGTTCCAACCCATGTCTCTTTATTTAGGTAAGGTGTTAAAATTTGGAAGAAAAACATTTTTTGTGATTTTTAAAGATTATTGAAATATACCCAGCAGTCGTCCGTTCTAGTTTTCGGCTTGTATTTTTATTAAAGCGTCAAATACTAAAATGGACGGCTAACTCTTAAAGCTCAGGTAGGTAAGGAAGCAAAAGGTTTGTCTGGTAGTATACCTACCACCTTTTAGCGTAGGCTGACGAACCAGACGAAGTTATTCGATAAAAGAAACGAAAAGGCATAATAACAACATAGAAAGGAAGAGTTTTATGATTACATAGTTATATTGAAAGAAAACTAATTTGGATTATACTTAGAATAAAAAAATTCAGTTAAATAAAATCACTTTAACTAGAAATAATTTTAATCAATTCTTCATGACTAAGTCCATGTGTATTATACAGTACAATTAAGGACTTTTGTACATAAACAGAAAGGACGAACTATAATGAAATAAGGAATCATTTTTAATCGCTAGATCAAATTTATATATCTACGAAAAGATGCTTAAAATCTGTAAGGATAATGGGTTAACCTTTGAGAAAATGTCGTAAGACATTACTGTTGATGTCACATAAAATGTTACAATGTATTTAAATCGTAAAATTGTTCTTATACAGACATTAGATCAACAAAATGTTTCTCAAAAAGGGTTTCGTTCCGATTCACTAACCACCCTAATTTTATTATTCCTGTTTCGCCAACTATTAAGGTAGTTATACATATAAAAGAAATATATAAATNAGATTAGATTACTGTTCGCAAATAGTTAAGGATGTGGGTTGTTCTAGTTTTAGGGAAATGCGAAGTTTAGCTCAAGATAGGAAAGAGTGGAGGTACGTGTCCAACCAGTCTTAGGACTGATGACCTTATGATGATGATGATGATAGATACTGACATGCTCTGTATTTCTTCGGAACGGAATTGTACCATAATTGTGTCCTATGCACTTTTAAGGTAAACAACAATTGACTACTGACGATGATTTCTAATATAAGTACAGTGGAATTCGTTTATTATGACTCCGCCTATATCAATCAACCGCTTAATATGAAGTAATTGCAGTGTTAAGTTTGGTTTTCATGTTAAATTCTCCATAGGAAACTTTGGATATAATGACTCCGTTTAAAATGACATATAATTTATTATGACGAATTCTCAAGAAATCATATCCGGCTATAGCGACCCAAATGATTAATAATAACATTTTGGCTCATTTTTCTGACCCTTCTTATGTATATTAATATTACAATTCTTCGTTCTTTTTCTTTTTCTGTTAATAAATATAAACAATTTGTAGTTTTTCTCTCTATTAAACTAAATAGCTAACCAAAATAGAAAGTTGTTTATTTTCTAAGACTATATGACGCCCGCTTAGTATGGCGTGTTTACCATTTCCCTTCGATGTCATTATAAGCGGATTCTACTGTAGTAGAAACAATTGACTACCTTCAAGATACCCGCATTTATATTTTGCTTTTTATTTTTAAATTAGTTAAATTAAAAGTTACATTTTTCGATCTTTTTTCCAAGGTCGTTTCGTTCGTATCCGACCATAGTACATAACTCTCCTAAGCTCCGATCGAAGTATTCGTTGACCTGAAAGGAAATGCAAGATAAATTTCTTTTAGATCGACCAGATGGAATCAAAGACCTTTTCTATTATCTTCCA